TACGGAAACAAAATTGTCCGCCCCACAAAGCTTCTGTAAAGGCCAATCCATGGAAGTCCCATCTAAGTCGCACAGAGGCAGTGGCCTGAAGGACTCGCACAGGTTGCATGCGAAATCAATCTCCTTGGCAACAGAATTCTGCAAGGCATCCGACAATCGACGCTTGTCGCATATGTCCACAGGAATATATAGGACCTCAGACGCAGCGAGCTTCAATTGATCCAACTTGCCTCTTGGCTTTCCTGCTGGCGGCGAGCGCCCGAGAAGAATCAAGGTTTCGGCCTTCAGAAACTGCGCCCACAAAGCGCCCACTCCTCCTGCCCCTCCTGCCATCAGCACTGTTCGAAAGCTCAACCCAGCTGGTTTTTTCACCTCCAGTGCCATCGGCTTTAGTCGCCGTGCGAGACGGTTACCATCACCGTCCACCAGAATCTCTGCAGGAAGCCCGAGCTCTGTCAACAAATCTGTGGCGGTTAGAGCAAGTGTTTCCACAAGCTTGGACTGCCCCTGCGCGACTTGCTCTGCGTTGCTACTAGGTCCAGGTGCCACGTCCACCTGGCAACAACGCAGCGGCAGCTCAGCTGATGCACTGAGCAGCACTCCTGTCAGCAGATGCTTTCGGGGATCCGATGATGCTCCGCACAAGTGGGCACAGCGTCCGGTGGACACACAAAGGATGCTCAGGACTGACGATGCTTGTTGCGGGTTGGCCTGTCTGGCCTGGGCTAGACCCAGGCTCCAGGCTTGCAGGATTTGTATCAAGCTGGTCACGTCGCTTACATTCCAAGCATCAGTTTGAAGCAAATGTACCAAAGCCGCGGCCTTTCCGATCCTGGCCAGTTCCTGGGACTGCTTGGGAGCCTCGACAGCATCCACCTCACAGGCCACCCAACATGGAAGGCCTGGCTTCGAAGTCTGGACCAAACTGGAACAAAAAGCCTTTGCAAGCCTTGCTGAGTAAGCGTCTTGTGACTTCAGGTTGCTCAGAACGAGTGCTATTGTCTCGGGCCCAGAAACTTGCTGTTCTGGCAGCTCCTCTGTTTGTTGAACACCCTCCAGTCTTTCTTCCAGAGCATCTTCGTCTTCCTCATTGGCATCGTTGTTCGCAGGCGCGCGCCGATAGGGCTTGTACTCTTCTTCGAAGGCCCACTCTGATGGAAGCAACTCTTCTGACTTCCCTGTCAGGAAGGTTTCTGCAGAGGTGAAATCCTGTGCCTCAGTGCATGGTCTGCCAGACCACGAGCGGAGCAGCCGGGAGGCTGGCAGCGGTCCTAGCCTTGGGATGATTCCCAAGGTCACTGCAAGATGACTTCTGAGAGCTTTTACAATTCGTTCACGTTCTGCTGCACGTGGGTCAGAGGGGGTGAAGAGCAGAAGCGGCATTTCTTGCCCTTGCGTTAGGAGCTTGACAGCTGCAGCAGAACCAGGTGTCACCTCGGGGGCCAGTTCCAAAGCCGCTTCCAGCTCCTCAGCTGTGTACTCCACGCCCATGGAGACGCGGAAGACTTCACTTGGACTGTCGACGACGTGGATTTGATGATCGCAGTTCGGAAATATCTCCAGCGACCCACTGAGGCCTGTTGAAACCCAGCCGCCTTCAAGCGGCGGTGCCGAACATGCAAGACCCGGCAAGGCCGCCAAGCCGCGAATCTCGATCGCACCAGGCGTTGTCCCACGAATGCGTGCTTCCATCCCTGCTGCCAGCCTACAGGCACGACTGCACTCCGTGCTGCAGGCAAGCGTGAAAAGGCCAGTGTGCGCCACGACATTGCCCCATGGGGAAAGGAGCTGGATGTGAAACTTTGCTGGTGAGCTTGGAAGAGACGTCGGCGAGCTTCCGTCTAGCTGCAGGATCAACATCTGAAATTCTTCCAGTTCTCCAGGCCTCGTTCGACAAGATAGATCAAATTCACCACCATACAGCACTGTCCATTGCCTTACGCAAGCAAGGCCCTTCAAGGAGCACTCTGGCGATGCAGCGCTTGCACGGACCCGCAGCGTCTCCAATGCACGGCGGAAGAACATCGTGGGAGCGCTTACTTCATGGAGCCGATGCCGCGCGACGATTTTGAGCACTGTCGTCGGCTTGAACAGGCCGTCCACGAAGAAGTGAATCTCGGAGCGCCGTAGATAAACAGCTTCGCAGTGAGAGAGTAGCGCTGTCGGGACAGTGAAAGGCATCCAGCTCAAGCTGCTGCTGCCCCGTGAGCTCCCATCGGTCCGGGCAGCCGATGTGGCTTGGATGTTTGCATAGATGGTCTCAGCGGAATAGCTGTAGATGCACCCCTCTTGCGAGACTGCATAGAAGGCGACGGCTTCCTCCGACGTTGATGTGTCTGCCCAGAGGTCTTTTCCGTCTGGGGAACTGTCGTGCAACAACAGGGGGAGTGACAAGATGTGCGAACTGCACTCGCCGCTCAAGGGATGCAAGCATGTGTCTGAAATCAGAGGTGGGAACCGGAGCTGCTCCCATGATTGCTGAATCCATTTCTGCCTTCGGGACTTTTCCCATGTCCTCGGCACGTCGAGCAAGCACGGTTGTTTCCCTGCCAGCATGCAGGCCCAGAAAGCAACGATCAAGAACCGCCGAGGCAAGTCTGGGTCAAGCATAATCCGAGTTTTTTGGTCCTCGACATCATGGACTCCGTTCCTGGATGTCTCTTTTTCTTCACCTTTCTCGGCTCTGCAGGCTGCGACAATGCATTTTGCCAGCGACCTTGCGACTCTCAGCAGAGTTGGATACGACAGAAACTGCACGCTCAACTCCTCGAAGCTGGAGACGCTGACGTCCTGTCAGAGTCGCTCACTTTCAACAGGTTACGACGGTTACATGGTTAGTGCGTGATGCACAGTGGTGTAGTTCTAGGCCCGGAGAAGTTTAGGAAAGTCAGCCTACCGGAAAAAGGTCTTCCAGAAATCTGCACGAGACCGTTGTAAAGGCTAAGCGGCTATACGAGGCCGACAAGCCCCACGCGAAAACGTCAATGTCGGGGAACCAACTCTAAAAAGCCATGCCCTTATTTCAGACCCTTGGGTGGCTCTGGGCACAACGCTTCGCTCCCAAAAGTGTCCTTCCTACCTTCAAGCATAAGCAATGCTCTTCCATGGAAAGTATCGCTTGTTCCTTTTTGAACTCAACTATTCTCCGGTCTACTCCTCGCCCTGTCTCCGCCCGAAAGTGCCCAACCTCAGAGTGTCACTGCAGTGGCCCAACGGAATCCCTGGAGTACCCCCCCCACCCAACCCAGGGTGTCCTTGGAGTGCCCAACCAAAATGCTTCAATGATGATCAAAACGATGACCTAAATGATGAAGAAACGACAGAACATGGTTTTTATCGCGACCACAATCTCTCCACGAAAGAGTGAATCTCATAACCCTTTTCCCCCATTTCGCTTGTCGACAAAGGCTCACCCAATTTGCGTGCCCCTCCGAGACAGTCACCATCGGCAAGACAGCAGTCAACACCGGCGTCTCATTGCAACAAAACCATGCCTTGCAAGCTGCGGGTCTCCGGATGTCTTGGGTCCCCACTCAGATTCAAACACTAAGTGCTGTTTCACATGGCAAGTGTGGGAAACACGGTACGCCCTCTCCCCTTAGCGAGTGCGCACCCCGTGTTGGAGTGGTAAAGGCTTCGGGACACGGCCAGTCCTAACCACGAAAGGTGTCAAACATATCGCTCAAAGTAACAAATAACCACGTTCTAAGCAGGGCACTCGGCCCCCCCCCCCCCCCCCCGTCGCCCCCCCACGTCTCCGAACCTTGTGCTACCGGCACTGCGGAAGCACACGCCCCCACAAAATGAATGACCATGTCACAACCTCAACACCTCGGCATGCCTCTATATGCCTCTCCAATCTTGTCGGCACGAAAAGGAGCTCACTGGTTTTCTGCGTTAGGGGCAACAAACAACCAAAGCAAGCAAACCCTTCTGCCCCGGTACTCCGTGCTCAATCTTGAAGGCCCTGCCCCGATCTCAGCAGAGGCTCAGAGTTTCACTTCGCCAGGGCTGAGCCTTTGCTTTGCTCTGGGGGATGGGGCACAGGCGGTCCCTGTACCCCGCCCCATCCCCGATTGAGAGGGGAGGGGCTCGGCTGTAGAAAATTGAGAACCTGTATTTGTGCGGAGTGTTCCCCGTGTGCGGGTTTGTTTTCTGGCAGTGGTGCGCTCCCTGAAATGGCAGGAAGGTTGTACCGGCAAAGTACGTGTCAAAAGAAAAACGTGTTTGAATTATCGGCCCCAGAATCCTGTTGCCTACCGCAGGCACATGACTACTTTGGTCTCGTTTGTTGAGTCTAAGTTAGATTGTACTGCAGCGGTAAGACTCTTGGATCGCAAGCGGCTCGGAGTGACATGAATCCATGCATTTTAAGGCTGGGATCAAAGCTGATGTGGACTGAAACTGCAGCACTGGACAGGCATAACTCTTTGCCTCGTAGATGGTGAAGCCAGCGGTTGGGCTGTGTCTGGCAGCTGCTTCCAAGATGCCTGGAAGACACATGGGCCCTTCATCAGGCCGGAGTCTGGCTCCTGCAGCATACGCCATGGCACCTTCGAAGGACTCCCCCTTATCCCTTTATCCTTGCCACCATTCTGTTACGCTTCAGTTTGCCTATTGGGGGAGGGGCGGATGAGCACCACTTTCGCGAGCAATGAGCTTTGAAGCGGGGTGATGTCTGCACATGGCAACGGTCTCAGTCTTGCAAGCTGTGGCTGAATCGTACTATTCAATGTCATGCGCAGCGAAACCGCTTGGCTTTTCCCCCCGCACACGTGCTGCCTTCCCGAAGGACGGCGCACAGCTTGGGTTGCCAGGCTGTCACTGGGCTTTAACTCGCTGCACCAGCCTAGAGGCTGCACGGTTGCTGTGCAAGGTGACCTTTCAGGCCACAAGCCTGGACAGGCCAGCATGATCGCCAAGTCCAACTGGGCCGAAAGCGGGCAAAGGGCGAGCAATTCTGTATGGGCTCCGTCCTTGACTTCGTTCTGGATTTGATCTCAGTCGACTTCATCAACGTTCGTGGCCTCTGGAACCTACACTTGATGGGCTGTTGGATGCCACTCTCCCACTCTTGCGTGCTCCCGACCTAGGCTCGAGCCTCCTCCACGGTTGGTCCTGCGGATGCCCCTGCCGAGCCACTGCCTCCTCGCGACAAAATGCCATCGGCACTGTAGCAGCAGCTGATGCAACTTTCCTCCAGCGGCGCCAAACCCACCAGGCATGCCACCAGGCATGCCACCGGGCATGCCACCACCTCGTTTGCAGCACACTAAGGTATGTAGCATGTACTGTTCAACACATGGGCAAGATGTGAGCAACCAACCGAATTTGGAAAAAGCTCCCATCACCTGCATGGGTGTGCAAAAGTGTTGTAGCGGTGCCATGCGATGGAACTACTATTGCAGCAGAAGCTTTTTCTACCAGACCTGGCCTTGTTGATGAGGTTCATGACGTCAGGATCATTCTGGTACTTCGCGATATTTCCAGGATTGCTCATGATGTCCTGCAGCAGGAATATGTGGAAAGAATGCAGTAACCTGCGGGTGGTGGATGTTGATTCGGACTTGGAGTTCGTTTCTCTTCTTAGATTTCGAGTCACGAAAACCAAAACCCACTCTGACAACCCAAAATAGCTCAACCCGAAGCAGTTGCTGTCAAGAGTTGATTCTCTCTGACTGTGTGCAGCATCAAATCGTGCCAATCCATTTGTGCATTCGCGAGATTGTTGCAGTCGTAACTGCGCCTGCTGTACGACCTGTCCTGCATCGCCGCCGCCATTTTCGGATCGGAGAAAGCCTGTGCCAATCCCCAACAACGAATGTCTCAGGCGTTGACTTGTGACTTGCCTGCATGAGCTCTGGATCACTCATGATGCCACTCAGCATGCTCGAGTCTATACCTGCTACACATGCCACCAAGATCGCTCAGCTCCATTTTGAGATGCGGCCGCCCGAGCTCGCTGCCTGGCATGCCAGGCATACCACCCGGCATGCCACCGGGCATGCCTTAGCTGGACTCACGTTGTCAGCAAGGGGCGTCTGGGAGGGGGCTTGCTCAACAGGGTTCAGGCCAGGGAAACCACCCGGAAAGCCTCCTCCAGGGAATCCTCCATAGCCTCGTATACAGATGCAGAATGCACGTCGGAGCGGTCCTAACGAAGGCACACTTGCACAGAACATGCGGTATCAAAACTCTGCAAGCGATGTTCGCGGTACCTGCTCCAGGCGAAGGTTGCTTCTTTGCCTCTTCGTAGGCACGCTGCGCCTCCTCTTTCCTTCGTCTTCTCTCCTGCCATGGGAAGAGTGCACTCACTCTTTGGGTCCTGCTCCTGCAACGGAGGAGCCTTCTCTTTGCGCTGCTCTGACCGCAGCCTGCAGGTCTGCTTGCAAATCTTGCTTCGAACTGATACGCCACCATCAGCTAGCGCAAGTGCAATAGTCCGACCTCTCTTGGTTCTTGCGCTCTGCAATTTTCTTGTACTTGGAGTCCACAAGTTTTTGTAACTGCAAGCGTGGGCGCATGGATCGAAAGGCGATAAACAAGAGAGACCAAGCAAGACTCTTCTTTCTGGGCGGACCTCCGCAGTGTCATCATCGAAGTCGAGCTTCTGGCTCTCTGCAAGATCTTGATGCGCCTTGACTTGCTGAAGTTGCTGCGTGCTCTTGCTGTCTTGTCCCTGTCCCCGCCTGCTCCCAGTGGCCGAGGAGTCTGTGCGCCTCCAGCAGATCCAAACAGCATCTAAGAGCTATGAAGCCCCGAGCCAGAGCCTGACAAGCATCCTAAGGCTGCTGGGCTGTTCAGTGTTCTGGGCAGAGCAAAACTCGAAGACTGTTGTAGTTCTCTGCAAGATTTCTGGGTGCTTCTTGACGGCTTAGCATCAGACAGCTACAACCGTCGAAAGGACGACTGTTCCCAGTGCTTTGGACAAAGAGCCAGGGCCGAGCTTGAGCAACTTTTGGTTTGGTCTGGGCAGACTGAGTCGACGGGTATGCGGTATGCTACACCCACCAAGTAATGCAAAGCAAAGCCACCCCTTGGAGACTGCAGACAAAGGCTTTCAGCTGGTCCCTCCAGCCAAATCATGCCGCATCTCGACTCCAAGTTCCTCCAGCCAAGTCCCCAGGGCCTTGGAATAAAGCAAACTAAGTCGAACCTCGAATGGCTTTTAGCGCCTGAAATGCAAAGCGACGCAAAAACAGTTTTCCGAGGATGGGAGGAACCGACTCCCCGGACCATCCGAGGCCTCCCAGCAAAGGACTAATTGAGCAGGCCAAGGAAAACTTTCTTGTTTGGTTTTGCTTCGGCCTGCGACTTTTCAACATACAGAACCTCTAAGTGAATTGGTCGATCTCCGTGGCTGCAGGATATGGGCCGCCCTCCACAGATTTCAATGCCGCAACCTTAAGCAATCGGCTGATGCTGCAACAAACGTAGGCCTTGCCCCTGACACGATAAGCTTTCCCGCTGTCCGGATTGATCTTGAGCGCTGCGTTGCAGTCTGCCTCGGTGGAAGTGCATAGTTGAGTCTCAATTTGCATCAAGCGTCCTTCTTTCTGCGGCTTCGGTAGGAAGGAAAGACATGGCCGGACTTCATGAAGCGCTGGCACCGGCATACAGGTCAATGGATTCTGCTTGTGCGCGGTGTCTCATGCACTTCCATGCAGTTCAAGCCTGGCTTTTCAATGCGACCCAAAGCTGTTGTTCATCCTGACTTCACAAGCAGTGAGACGAGCGCATGGCGCCTTTAGAGATGCTCTGCGCTCTGTGTGCGTGTGCTTATTATTACGATAGGCAGTCTGCCGTGGAGTCTGTAGGTCACAAATGTCACAAACGGCTGTCATGTCCGAGCGTGTTCTGGATGGCGGGTGAATGCCCAAATGCAGTCGTCTGCATTCTCCAAGCTAGAAATGGCATCCGCAGCTGCTCGCCGCAAAAGCTTCTGGACCTGCTGCCTGCAGAGAATGAAAAACTATTGCGAGTTGCTGAACGTCCATTGAGGATTTGAATTGCAGATCTTTTGTCTGCATCGCCCCAATGATCGAAAGCGGAAGCTAAAGTGGCTTGCAGCATTCACAAGTGCCTCTTTACTTCACTAGCTCATGAGGTATTTGTTGCAAGCCGCGTTTGTGAAAACAGAATCAGTTCCTTCGCAGTCCGTTCCATGGTGGCCTTAAGCCTCCAAGACACCTCAAGACTCGGTAAGCTGCAGCAGGGCTAGGAGAAGCATTTGCAAACATAACGCAACACTGTTTATGCGAGGGTAGTCGGCCACACTAAATTCCAAGAAGCTCGAAAGGGATCGAAGGATCGTCAGAAGAAGGCATGTGACTGCCAGCAGAATAAGGGTGGGTTGCAGCCACGTCTTCGGTGTCGCTACCTCCGTTTCATAGCTGATGCATTCCGCCTGCAGATGCTGGTGCCGTTTCGTATGAACGAATCAACACTCGGTGCATATCTCCTGCAGTGGGTCGATCAGATTCTCTTGGGCAGTCCGAGCCTCATTAGGAAGAACTTCAGAGTCCCGCTGCCCCGGAGTTGACGGAATTCGACCGGCACCAGGGGTGATCCAAATAATTCGCCCTGACAAGACTCGCCAATGACAGCGCAACCGAGATTTGTCAGCCCTTTTTCTGCACACATCAGCCTTGCTCTTCTGCTACTTGACCCAAGTGATCTCTTCGGTCTGTGCACAGCCAGGTGTCATCAAAGCCTTGAGACGCAGATGATGGTTTTTTTTTCCGCGCGATGATGGGTGTCACCTTGCATGTCAAGAGGCTTTGCCAACCTGACTTCGCCGGCCCCCAGAGATTTGCTGCTGAAAACCTTGCGTCGATTTCGACAATGTGCATTGAAAACAGCCGGTGCACTACTGCTTCAGTCTTTGACATGTCAGGCTGAAGCTTTGAGCTTTGTCGGGGCCTAATAAGGGCAAGATCAGAGTCGTACGAATACCGATCTCGCCAGCGCGGAGCCCTTTCTTATTCCTCCCCCCATGTGTGCTGCGTTCAGTTTTCATTGGGGACATCGAAGCAGCTCCAAGGCAAACTGTCACTGCAGCGTTTGCCTACACGAAGAAGGGCACAAACAAGACAACTGCATCTAGCAGAACATGCACAGCATGGAGTCGGGGCACAGCTTGGCTATTACGTCGGGCTTGGCTCCAGGATGTCCCAAAGCCCGTCCGAAGTTCATGGATCCGACGCTGTAGCCCTGATTTCCAGCGGCATACAAGCTCGTTGCACTAAAGGCTGCATGTTTCCAGGCTTCGGGCGGATTTGAAGAGTCGCTCACCAATCTGACGGTCACCCGGCGCAGATGCCTGCAGCTGGAAGAGGTCACGAGCATTCCTGGACCAGGTGCAGTATGTGATTCAAACGTACGCAAACGCTCGTGTTCAATCACCTTCTCACTCTTTCACATTCATGCCGAACCCATTATTAAAATTACGACAGAACATGTACCGCTAGCAGTTGCTACTCACGCAGCTACTGCAGCCGCTTCTGCTACGGCGGCTGCTCCTGTTGCCTCCACCACAACATCAACTACTGCTCCTACTCCCGCTCCCACCCCCACTCCCATTCCCAGCCGCTTCCGCTCCTGCCTCTACTCCTACTCCCACTCCTCCTACTCCTCCTCCTCCGACAACAACAACAACAACTACTACTACTACTACTACTACCACGACTCCTCGTGAATACTGCGCCTACGACTATGCCGAACACGACTTCCACTGCTACTATTAGCATTCATACGGCTAGCACTACTACATGTTAATACTGTTTTGCCACTCCCACGGTCTCTCGCTGCCATCGACATCCTTAAGTGTCACGATAACAATCTAAAACAGTGTGTGTACACGATAACCACAGTACAACTAGTGTGTCGATGGTACTTTGGAGGATGTTTACTGGGGCATTCTGCACTGGCAGCCCATTCGTCTCCTAGTCTGTCTGATAGCGGGACAATCTCTTGGAAGGTTTCGGATAGCTTTCTAGGTTGTTTGGGAAAGGTCAGATTCTTCGCCCACCAGTACGCGCTAAATAACCAACCACTAACCTTTGCAAGAACTTCTCTGAAAGACTGTGGGAACTATGACCTCATGAGCGTTTCAACGAACAAGCCAAGCAACTGCAGGCATTCTACGTCATCTGGATCGGCGGGCGTACTGGACCGCACTGTAACCCTGATGCCATTTTTACCCTCGTCCCAAAATTCGAAGCCGATGTACCTGCACATTTGTGGAAACAGGACAGAGATGCAAAAGGCTGTTGAGAATCGATCTATCTATGCATGGGCATGCATGCCCGAAGTAAGTGATCTCTCCAGGAGCATCAGACGAGGGCACGTCTGCGTGCAAATGTTGAGCATGCCCCACAGCGCACGGCTCACAGCCCACTCCGGCAAGAACATGAGGGAATGCCTGCATTGGCGTGAAACTACGAAGTGGACATGCAGCCGCATCGGGTCAGATTTTGCGGGTTGACAACATCGATCCCAAGAAAAACACCAAGCAAGCGGGCCAAGTAAGTCTCAGGAACACTTCAAAGACAGATGCAAGGATTCGGCGAAGCTTGGAATCTTTCAGCGGGCAGAACTCATCTTTGTGCTTCTCGTACCATGCGGCTGCTGATTTCCTCGAATAATCCTGACCCAAGACTTGTTTCAGGTGCCGCCGCAGCTTGATGGTCTCCGGCAGGACTGGAAAATCGAATCCGTAGACTTCGAGTAAAAGCGGCTCCGTACTGAGGTCTGTCGGTGGTTCATGGTGAGCGAAGATCACCTCTGATCCCAGTCGCACGTAGGCGCCGATTCGTGACCTAGTTGCGATCTCACCATAAACCTCGGTAAGATGCAGTCAGAAACAGGGCCTCAGAAGAACAGAGATCATGCGCATGCACGATTTGCATTGCTCTTGATTCTTGATGTTCTTGCGTGCCGACGCTTCGCCTCCTTCTGGGAGAGCTTCACGCAAACCGTTGCCACAACCCCTCGGCCCCCACTCGGCAACTTGGAGTAGTGAGGCTTGCAGTCTGCACCCTCTGCAAACTCGACGCTCCTGTGAGGTACATGTTTTGGAAATGCACGGACATGCATGGGTGGTGGTTCGGAGCTTGAAGTCAGAAGTCGGAGTCCTCACAACCCTGGGAACGTGCTGATGGATGCCCCGAAGCAGGGCAGCAGCGATGCTGAAGGAGTGCTTCCATGCTTCGCTGCCCAAAGACGAAGGTCTCAAGGACCTTGGAATGGCATTCCAGAAATTTTAGGCGCAGGTGCCGCACGGTGGCCCTGCCCGCAGGGGCAAATGCAAACAACGAAGTCTCTGTTCAAGCTGAAGTGGCTGAACGGATGTTGCCCCGACCTCATTGAAGCGCGCTAGCGCCTCCTCGAGCTGCTGCTTGGACACCATGTGCGAGCCTGCATCGTAGTTCCTCAGAATGCTGCACTGTTAAAGCCCCGAACTCGTGCTTGCAACTGTCGGGGCTTCGGACTTCAGCAAACAGTTCAGTTCAGCAGAAGATGCGTGAGCGTAACATGTTTTGCACATTCCGACCTACATTTCATGCTGCTTGCAGGTGCATTGCCAGCTATATCTGCGCCTTTGACTCTTAGTATACTTACATCCGTGTCGTCTGCAAGTTCATTCCTATCACTCTGTGACTGGATTAAACTGCGTTCATGCGAGGCTCGGCACGCCCTTGTCCAAACTTGGGCTACAAAGAAATGGAGCACACTGACCCATGGCGAGCTACGCACTCATGCCTGCTGAGCCAATCCATACCACAAGCCTGGTGTCCCGGTGGCAAGCAGCAGGAGGCTGCGGCTAACGGCTGACAAAGACAGATCTTCCACTTCTTAAGTTCGAGGCTATGCAGGCGCACGGCTTCTTGAGCTTCAGCAGAAGCTCGGCTCGCTTTGCAAACCTCGGGTGTTCCGTGGAAAAGATGCTAGCCGATGCGAGCACATGAATGACGCGATCACAAATTATGAACTGCTCTGTGTCTCCTAGCATCATTGCAGAAACGTTTCCGATTTGGAAGGCCTGGGCATCAACACCACTCGCATATAGCCCTTATGCCCAAGACTGGCTGCGTTCCCTTTGGTCGCCTCGGTCAACTTCTCGAGTGCCTTCGCGAGGTTGCCGTCCTCCAGCGCCTCTGCAGCCGCCTTGGAAGGGCGCATGTCTGCGACGCGATCGAGGCCAGCACTGCGCTGTCACACGCGCCCGACCGCGCGCTCACCCGCGCGGGCCTGCTTCAACTCACCCTGCTTGTCAAGCTCACTGTCGCTGAGTTCGCGGTTGTCTGACCTCTGGCATAGGAATGATTCTGCCTTTTCCGGCCAATCGACTGTTTCTGCCGAACTTAGACCGGCACGGTCCTTGCGGAGGGTATGGCTCTGGATCCTGGAGAGCATGCTGACCAGGAGACGACTGACTGGCGCCCCTTCAGCTACTCGCTCTTTCTACTCGATCTTTGCGCAGGTCTGAGTCTAGTCGAAGCTGCCGCATGGCTGCGGGGAAGCCTCACCACATCGGCTTTCTTGCCACGGCAAGACTCTACCAATAGTAGGTTTAGCCTGTTGCATCCTGTTGCTCATCTTGTCACCGCCTCATTCTCCTCCAAGGAGCATAGGCGGCATCATCAGTATCACCAAAATCGTTCTCGTCACAACGGTCGTCGTGGTGATCCTGACGACCATGGGACCATGGTCAGTAATTATCACGGTATATCACGGTAGTTCTTCTCATCGTCGCTGTCAAGACCCCATTGCCATGATCAACATCATTACCGCCGGTTTCGTCCAAGGCAACACATCACCACAAAACCGATTCTCAGCTTCATACAAGACCTGGGCCATAGTGTTGCACCTTTTTCGACTACTTGTGGAAATTGAACACGAGGGCACATGCAAATCGGCACGGACGGGTTGTGCACCAAGTCTTGTCCGGGAGCCTCTGATGCAGCTTCGGGATGTGGAATCACACGACCATGTCCAACTAAGTCGTCACATGCATTGTCCGTTTTCGATCCTGTCACCTCATGAGTGTGCGACGGAAACACAATTACACTTCGTTGCGCTCAGGCAGGCTTGAGGCTGCGCTCCTCCTCGAGTCGTTCTGGGTCGGGTTCCTCAGGCTCTTCAGCCTCCTGAAACGGAGGGAGGGCCGAGGCGGCCAAGGCTGACGGCTCTTTCTTTTGGTCTCCTCTTCTTCGTCATCATCTGCATTTGCCTCTGACACGAGACACAAAAAAGGCTCCACAGGCGACGAACAGGGACCCGACTGGCTCTGTGTCTGGGGCCTGCAGGATTCTGCATGAAAGGTTCGAGTTCCTTCGTTACAGATCAGCGGTCCACCAACCGGACCTTTGGCTCCTCCTTGGGCTTTGGCTTTGCTTCCGGCACCTCCCCGCAAAGTGAACAACCGAATCGCTCCAACTCTTGACATGGAAGCACACAGTCTGGTGCTACGCGATGGGGCCGAGTCAGCTTAGTCAGACCTTGCAAAACCCATGATACTCGATGCAGAGTGCTTCGGCCTTGGCGCCCCAGCTAAGAACGAATTCCTCAAGTTCCGTCAGGTCAAATAATTAGTTCAATTGCAGCGATCGCTTCTTGCGAGAAGCAGCTGTCCTTGAAGAATGCGAGCTTGGGGTCATAGACCAAGGACGGATCCTTCGACAACTGGTCTGACAGGCTCAGCCGGCATCGTGATACGTACATCTGTCCTCCTTCAACTTTGTAACTAACGCTTCAAGCGCCTCTACCTGTCCGGCTTGCAACCATTCCCCATGCTCCCCGCGCAAGCTCAGACGTCAAAAGACCAGCTTCATGTACTGGCGGAACACCCCAACCCCGCACACCCCATCTGTCTGCACTTCTGGCCATGTCCACTTCCAAGTTTAGAGCGAATCTCGGGCATATGACTTGAGTGGGCGGTGTCGCCGTGGTAGCTTGGCTTGACTTGAGCATCGTGCCAAATCATTCCGATACGCTAGTAGCCGCTAGTGAAGGAAAGTGTTGCAGGCGCGCTGAGTCTAAATGTTTTGGCGCCCCATGGCGGTCCGAGCCTAAGGTCAAAAATCGACGAAAAATCCGCCGAGCCAGAGGCCCAGGCGTCTTGATGGTTACCTCAGGTACCCTCCACCTAATCCTCTTTCCTGCAGTCCAAATATTTGGAGACACCCGCTTTTTGCGTTCGTTTGCATCCCTTCATTTTAGCTTGATTTGTCGGCCTCCCCCCCCCCTCCCACCTCCCTCCCCTACCCCCCCTCCCCCCCTCCCCCTCCCCCCCCTGTGCCGATACACCCCCAAGGAATACTCCTTGTTAGGAGGTGTATGACCAGTTATTCCCTAAGGATCAAAGGGCAGCGCCCTGCACACGGACAGTAGTTGTTTTTGTCTTGCTACGCAAGGAGAGCTTGTCTTGTCTCAATATGGTAAAACCACTGTGAGCCAATGGGCAGCGGAATGTATATGTATGAGCATGCAGCCATTGCTGTAGGTACCTGTTAGAGCTACCCCTTTAGAGGTTTATGGTTTCAAACAGAAAACACTTAATGTTCTTGTACCGGAAGCATGGCCGCACATTTCCACATTATATGTTATGCCCAATGTCACAGTGCGGCGTTTGGGCTCATGATAAAAACAGCGATATTGTTTTTTATTTTGATGTTTTTTTTTTTCGGTTGTTTACCTTTTTATGCTAGGTATAGCACTGAAGTACACTGTTAAGGTCACTCCTTTTGCACACCCTCATGCATGTTGGTCAGAGAGATCATCTGTACAGGATCAGGTCTGGTAATGTTCTTCTACCGAATTATGCAGCCCTTCATTGTGCTCTTGTTAGAGCCTTGTGATTCACTGTTGTGAAACTCTGAGAATTTTATTATCTCAGATTCGGATCCAGGTTTGGATCATAGGCTCGAGCATAGACGTTCGGATGTGGCTCATCCGGGTCTGAGTGATCTTCTTCGGAACTTGAAAAGATTCCGAGTAATCTGTTCTCAGCCCTGGTGAAGGCGGCGTCTGCAGTATCATATCCATGGTTGGATGTTGTCGCCTTTGGCTCGGCCTTTGGAGCAGCTTGTGAGCTGACTGGAGTTGCCTGGGCTTTAGCCGGTTGCGGCTGCTTAGCCTTTGCCCGTTCAGCCCTTCTTCTTTCAAGCTGTCCGTCTGAGGACGCCCATGATCTTTCACTTTCATCTCCTGAAGGAGATAAGGCGTGGGCATAAAGGCTATTCCAGTACTGTGCTGCAGAAAGGCGGTTAGGACTTCTTCATTGTCAGATGCTGGGACCTGGTCTTTCCTCAGGCGTGGTCGTCAAAACGGTCTCGAGGACATTTTTGAGATTGTTATTTCTTCGCTCTATCTCTAGTGAGGAATGGACCAATTGGTTAAAGACTGTCCTTGAGTCCTTCAGTGCTGTTAGAAGGATTTCCACTCTGGATAGAGTATATTGGATGGTGTCAAGATGTTCCTTCCTTTCCTCCTTGTCTCTCTGGATAGAGCTTCGCAATGATTGTGCGATTCTGAGGAGGTCTGTGTATTTCGCAAGAGGCATAGTTACCGTTTGATTGTCATGTATGACAGTTGTTTCGTCGCCGCTTAAGTTCCTGAATAGGACTTCCACGACTGGTAGGAACTCCGTGCTCCACGGTTTCTCTTCATCATATGTTTCTACGTGCTGTAGCACGCGTTGTGTAAACTGGCCGGCTGCTTCTACCGTTGCATCGATAGAGCTGACGTGTCTTGCTGCCATGTTTCGGCACGTAACGTTAATTGCGTGGCCTTGATTGGCTTCGTTAAGTGCAGCGTCTGCATAGGTGCAGAGTCCACTGTTGTGGGCTTTCTCTGGCTGCGTTCGTTGAATGCGACCCGATTTGGATCTCTTCTGGTAGGACCTTTTTGGTTCTCGGAGGATCTTTGAAGGTTACTGTTATTTCGCCTTGTCGGAGGACTCTTGGTGGAGGTGATATGTTTGCCTTGTTAGGCCCTGGTGGCATTGCCTTGGGCGCTGATGACGATGCGGCACTTGAGAGTGCAGATGTACCTCTGGCCTTTGCCGAGGATCCCTTGGGGATCGATGTATAGGTAATCTGCATGGCTTCTTCGGCCATTTGTGCATGCAAGGCATCCTGGAATAATTGTGTCATGTGAGGAGTGTTACTTGCATCATCGTAGGTCTGGAAGCGCTCAATGTCTCTTTCGGTGCCACGTGGTCGTGTATCACCTCTTTGGAAAGGATCATTCCTGCGAATCTCCGCAACTTGTACTGCATGGAGGCAGTTTTTGCACAGCACCTTCTTGCAAACATCTCTTGCTTGCTTGAGCTGGTAACAGCTGTCTGAGAGATGGTAGACTTCGCTTCGGGAAGTATGCCAGATAGGTCGCAGATCAGTTGTTTCTCCGGAATTGACCCTGTTGGGTCCAAAAGGTTCACGTGTCTGC